AGCGCTGGACGCAGAGGGGATCGCTGCACCTCTTGTGCGCGCCGTAGAGAGGCAGGCGCTTGGCTTCCGTGCAGCTTACAGACACGTATTCACGGCGTTTCTGTTAAATAACTAACACAGTTTTCTGAGAAGTCATTATCATAAGTAACCCCCCACTCCCGTGTGCGTGTTACAGTCTCATGGTGAGCTTCAGGGATACCTGGTGGACGTCTGCTTCATCCACTGCTCTTCGCTGTGTCCTCTTGGTGAACTATAGCTTTTACTCCCTTGTTCTTGCAGGGTCTGCAGTCTTGAAGCGCTCTGTGCCTCTTTATCTCATAGCAGCCTTGTGTTCATTTGCAGAGATAAATCCTGCTCAAAGCATTCCAATGTGTGTGCATATCCCATCTCACAAGGCCATTGTTCATTGCTGCTGCTTGTTAAAAAGCTCTTCGCTACTAAATTTCCATCAGGCCCTCACTTCAAAGCCCTCGGTTGTGTTTGCAAGCTGGTGCTGACAAGGGAGCAGGGTTGCTGATGGCACAAAACTGGGAGGAGTGGCTGATGCACCAGCAGGCTGTGATGCCTCTCAGCGAGGCTGGAGAGTTGGGTGGAGAGAATAATGAAATACAACAAAGGCAAGTGTAGAGTCTTGCATCTAGGAAAGAACAACCCCATGTACCCGTATAGAGTGGGGACTGACCTGCTGGAGAGCAGCGCAGGGGAAAGGGACATACTCTAGGTGATCCTGCTTTGCAGGGGGTTGGACTATTGGACTAGATGATCTTTTGAGGTCCCTTCCAACTGCTGACATTCTACGATTCTGTGATCTACTGCCCTGAAAGCTCAGACTTGTGCTTTCCAGCAGTGTTAGCCCTGTAACAAGTTGTGTTTTATCGTAGCCACGTCTTCCGAGCTGGATGTTTGGAGGGCTACGTGTGTTAAACACACAACTGTCTTTTTTTCTTTTTTCCTATTCAGGTGCAAAACTGTTGTTAGATGGACTTTGCTCCAACACCACTGTCAAATCTTTGGATTTGAAGGTGAGTCTGTTCAAATAAAATTAAGATAAAGAGGTGGGGAAAGAAATATGAGCACAAGCTTATTCAGCATTAGAAATAGGCAGTCCTAATGCACGATTGTTCCACACGATGCGTAGTGCTGAAAAGTTCTGGTTCTCAAATGACTCAGTCCTGGCCTCCTTGACACCGTGTCACAACTTTGCAAAGGTACTTTGCAGCTCCTGTTTGCCCATTTTTATTCAGTTACTCTGTTCTGATAGGGAATTACTGCTATATATATTTTATCAGGTGCTGCTTGGTCATATGAGGTATATGTAGGCTTTTCTTTGCGTTTCTCTATGTATCAGCAAGTTGTTTGACTTGCACTTCCGTAGTTTTCTAGCTTTGCAGTGCCTTTCAGCTAGCATGGGGCTTGGAACCAAGCATGCACTTTCCGATTACTCTCCTGTAAGGGTGACTTTCTTCAGGCACAGGGCACATAGCTGTTCCCTTGAATCTACAGTCCAAAGCTGCATCACACGTTCCTTTCTCATCCGTGCTGGTGCTAGCTGAGCCCTTTTTAATGAAGTGTGTTGAAGTGGCCGTGCTTATTTAGAATCAGCATTTTCCCTCCCATCATGGGCCATGCTGATCCTGTGAGCTCTCAGCCGCAGTTCCTTACGTGATTAGCTGTTTATGTGCCACTGTTTCTCCCAAGATCTTTAATTTTCTGAACAGAAATGTTACTCAGAGCATCTCTGACAGACTGAAATTGGCATTCCAGCTGGGGTGCACCTGGTTTTGTGTATGGGACCGTTTATAGGGGCATGGCCTACTGATCGCCTGGGACTTTTGTTTCAGGGAAATAACCTGCGAACCATGGGAGCTGAGGCTTTGGGAAAACTTCTTAGGCAGAACAAATCCATCAGGAGGTAAAAAAAATTGTATCTACCTCTCTTTCTGTTATTCTTGCCACATGGAGCATAATACTGGAAAAGGGTCGAGGATGTTTTTTGTTGGCATAGGAGGAATGTCAGGTGGTGCACTTTCTTGTGAGGGATGGGACAGGTGAAGGAAGGAGAACTGGAGGTCCCCTTTTGGAGGATGCAGGGGCCTGGCAGAATCGTGCTCTCTGAAACTGAGTCTCTCAGATGGGTACCGTGACCCAGGTGAAGGAAGGAGAACTGGAGGTCCCCTTTTGGAGGATGCAGGGGCCTGGCAGAATCGTGCTCTCTGAAACTGAGTCTCTCAGATGGGTACCGTGACCCAGGTGAAGGAAGGAGAACTGGAGGTCCCCTTTTGGAGGATGCAGGGGCCTGGCAGAATCGTGCTCTCTGAAACTGAGTCTCTCAGTGGAGCTGGGTGTTCAGATGGGTACCGTGACCCAGGTATCATTCAAGCTCTTGCAACTGCCCCTTTAGTTCATGAGCTCCAATTCTGTCTGATTTCTCCTAGCCTGATCTTAGAATGGAATAGCCTTGGCGTGTGGGAGGAGGGCTTCTCCTTTTTCTGCCACGGACTGGGAGAAAACAACTGTCTCCGGCGGCTAGATCTGCGCAATAACCAGATCAACCATCAAGGGGCTGGAGAGCTGGCCGCAGCGCTGAAACAAAATGCCAGCCTTCAGGAGCTGGGTAAGCCACTAGTTCTTTGCCCACCTGCGTATCACGCACACAGGTTCGTTGCAGCCTGCCCTGATCTCTGCCAGCTGGTCAGTGTCATTCCCAGTTCCTGTCAGTGGAGTGCTTTGCAGGCTTTGTGCAGGGAGTAGAGGTCCCAGCCCCATGGCCCTTGCAGAGAGGGAACTGTAATTAGAATCTCTGGAACCAAACTTGCAGGTGAAGACCGTGAGCTTGGAGCAGAACAGGGGGAGGGGACGGGTTCATTTCCAGCTGTTCAGGCTGTTGGTATGCCTTGTGCCAGACTCTGAGACTTACCTCACACTTGCTTTGTTCTTTTTAAGGAATTTTGCCACAGTTTCCTTGAGGAAAACGGGGCTCTTGGGGCCAGTTCTTTCTGACCCACAGACTGTGATTGTGGAGGGAAGGCTCATGAGATGAAAACGCGAGGGGCAGGCTTGTGTGCCTTTTGAATTGTAACGGCTTCCTGCGCTTTACTGCACTTAAGATTCGTCCTTGCCTTTCCTGCTTTGTCTGTCATTTTTCCTCCCTCTCGTTCATCTTGTAAAGGGAGAGAATTCACCTGTGTTTGTGCTGAGGCCCTCTGGGATTAGTTAGCCATGCTTGTAGGTGCATAAGGAGCACAATTTCTGTTGAGCCCTGTGTTTTTCAGCAGATGTGTGATTACCAAAGTGGAAGTTTTCTTTCTGCGTAGATTTGCGTTGGAATAATATTGGGCTTCTGGGTGGCCGAGCTTTGCTGAACTGCCTGCACAGCAACAAGACCCTGAAGAGACTGGAGCTGGCTGGGAACAACGTTCCTAGTGACATCCTGAAAGCTATCGGTAGGTGTTATGTGTTGCACAGGAAAGAGTCCTTTGCCCTTTCAGCACTTGAGAGATAATAGGGCACTTGCTCCAGAAGGGAGCTGTTCCTCCTCCCCTCTCTTTCTCAACAGCATTTACACAGTGCCCTTTATTGCCTCCTCTTGTCCTTTAGTGAGGGCTCATCAGGTTGGAGGTGTCACTTTTATGAGCAAGAGAGAAAAATTAATTTGGATCAAATTAGAGATGACTGTGTCACGTGAGTGTGGGAGAGCTTGGGCGTCTGGTTTTCTTCTGAGTAGCCAAGCTTGGATATGGGCAATGCAGCATGTCCTTTGTCTTTGTGCTACCCAGTGCGAGTCAGACGGCTCTCCTGGTGGTGGGGCGTTGATTACACTATATGCACCGCTCTCCTCAATTCCACCCTTCCCTGTGTCTGTGAGGTGAGAGTGGTCTCTGTGCGTGGGCCAGCCTGGGAAGGGCTGTCCTGGTGCTTCTGATAGCCGGCCGTTGTCTCAAGTATTATCTCTTCTAGCAGTGCTTGCTATTGTGTTGCTTTAGAAATCTGTGCCTCCTCTCCTGCTCTCTCTGCATCAGAACAAGCCATGAATCACAACCAAGACCGTCAGACTATCCTGAGTGAGACCCAGAACCGAACGTACATACTCAGCAAAGAGATTGTGAGTCTGAAGGACGAGAAGACCAAACAGGTCAGCAGTCTCACATGTTGGCAGGTCAAATGGGTCAGCTGGAATCCTGTGCTTTCCCTCAGTGTCCCCATGAAACACTCAGTGACAGGATTGTTGTGCACCTGAAGTTGCATGTGCCTCTTTATGGGCAGACACGCAGCATGGTTTAGTAACTTGGGGCCTTCCTCTAAGCTGGGTTGCCCAGGAATCAAATCCATGTCAGTATGGATATGGACACATGGCCTGCTG